CGGCTGTTTGAAAGGTTTTCTTCCATAAAATTAATCGATTCTAGACTAATTTGACTCAACATTTCCAAAACACGTACAATTTTTTGGGAATAATCCATATAAACTATGCTATAAACAAAAAATTGTAGGATTACTTACTGAGTGTGTACCGTTCGACGACTCCATTATTTAAGCTTGTTTTCGTCGTGGAGCTTTTCATCGAATGGCGCTCGCGTGCTTTCTGATAAATTATTTTTTTTTTTTGCGAAAAATTCGCTGAACTTTGGAGACATCATTAATATAAATATAATTTTTATGGTTGTTAAATAATAAATGGTTTTTGGTAGGTCCGCTGCTCGTTTAAACTGAACGGTTTGTGCAATAACCGCTATTGGTCTAGATTCGACCAATCCTGTCGCGACACGAGTCGGCGATGACGTTTTACCGAATTATACGAGTTTTTTTAGCATGTTTATACGAATACTGTCGCAATTTTTTCGCCGTGATATAGGAATCCGTATTATATGAACCTGTTTTATAGGGGAGTCTACTGTATTTAGATGGTAACAGTGAATCACTTATAACAGCAACAACAGAAGAGGGCCAGAACTCAGGAGAGGATAACCAACCAACGGGTAAAGAAAACTACAGCAGTAACGAGGAACACTTTTAGTGTCTCAAAATCCTCTACCAAGTTTAACAATTAATGTATTTGTTTATATCAATTGTTTATAAGGCTTCCATTCACACTCAATGTTTTTTTTTTTAATTTTGTTTCTTTGTTTAATAATATACTTGTAATTGTTGTTTTTAAAATTAACGCAATGCGGGTGCTCATGGGCCCTCCCCCTTCCTTCCTTTCATTCTTTTATTTCCCTATCCTCCTTTCTTTACCATTTCATTCTACACTCTATCTCTTCTTCTTAGTGGGTTAGTTAGCCTTTTTCCTTAGTTAGGGCAAAACCAGCCGTTAAACGACAGACAGCCCTCTAATTCCTTTATTAAAAGTAAAGCACTTTGCTTGTTGTTTGATAAAAGTAATTTACAACACAGAACTCACCACGAGGAGGTGGCTGCATATAGAGTTCCGCTCCCACCCAATCTTATTAATTAAAATAATTCAAGTACGTGAACACCATACAATTTCCAGGAGATTTGCTCTCGAATCTTTGACAGTAGTCAAGAACAAATTTGAACTGTTATCATGATGCTAGTAGATTCTATGAAAATTTTCTCAAAGAGACTAACTTCACCTACGAGAAAACACTGGATCGAACACCGACTAGGTCAGTGATCTATCGTTCATACGTGAATAAATTTGGTCCTGCATTGTGTGAGCGCCGGACCAGATTTATTCACGTAAGGAAACTCTGGTCCTTGTGTAAGAAATACACGGAAATATTCATATTATATTTAACGTATTTATATTAAACGAAATGACTTACTTGTAATACGAATTTATAAAAAATGGCTTTCTTCTATGGTAATTTGTTGTCAGTTCTTGAATGTTGTTTTCCAAACATTAAATTTTAAGTTTATTTTCCGTAGTTGAAGTGTTTCTTGTTTTCTTTCTCTGTCTTACTCTTTTATTATTAATTCTAAAACTCGGCAAAATATTAGCATTTTTTCTTTGAAAATTACGAGGAATACGATATTGGCATTTCCGTTTCGGCAAAAATTGCCCGTGTATTGTTGATTCATTAACAATTACCGAAAAGACGCGTTGCCTAATTGTTGTCGTTTGATGACGTTTAGCGATGAAACTCCAATTTATTTATTTTTTTTTTAACTCTTTTCGCGCTGTATGCACTAAGAGAGCCTGTTTTTAGCAAGTCCATTATGTATTCGGCCAATCCCACAATGGGGGAGGAGGACGATACCCGACATATTCGGACGGACCACCCCCGAAAAATTCCTGAGGAGTTTTTCGACCCGTCCGGATTCGATTCCGGGTCCCCTAGAGCGGTAGACTGCCACTCTAACTTCTCGACCATCCGGTTACGTTTGTTTGTTAAGTTATGGCAACGCAACACTTGGGCGATCTGCCTAGGGGGATGTCTTCCGGGAGGTCTTTTAAGGGAAACTGGCCCCTATTTAGGCGTTACAGACGTGGAGAAAACCCGAAAAGCTCCACGTGCCAGCCCGTTCGAGAGAGGCACGAACCCACTACCGAACTCCCAGTGTTTAGGGTACGAAGACCGCTTGGCCAATGATGGACTTCATCCGATTACGTCATTCAACATAACGTTTTATAAAGATAGCAAAACTGATTACTTTTTATTAAAAATAGTTTTAACGCTGGCATCTAAATTCCTTTCGATCGTATAACATAAACTGCTATCGAATTAAAACATATATATATTAAAAATAAATAATAAGACGAAAAGACATTTCTCCGAGAGGGGTCGCAGGAGATAATTAAGGAAAGGAGGATTTAAATGGTAATTTCGCTAAGCGACTTAAACGTAATTATGCGTATAATACATTAGTCGACATTAATGTTCCTTAGAATAATAATCAAGAAGAAGACTATTTTTATATTATGCACGTGCGTTTTCCTATATCACTTATCGAGAAAAATATTTCCCATTCGTATCGACCCGTCGGAGGATGCTTTCTTATCGGTTCATCTGTGTCCCGCTTGCTACGGTCAGAACATATGCCCCATCTTCTACCACAATGACTTTCACTTCGTCGGCGCCAGCAAACTTCGAATATCTCGACTCTTCAACGAAAAAAACGTCTATTACGGACAGGTAAGGAATCGCAAAGTCGTGGCCAAGAAATTAGCCCACGATTCTGAACTGAAAGAAACCGATCGACACCTATGCAACGTGGCTACCGGAATATCCGACTGTGATGTCAGAGAAGCTGTGATAAAAATCGTTTCCCGCAGCGCCCGTCTTCCCAAGAACCGGAGACTGTCCGAAGTGGTCGCCCGGGTGGGCGGACTGACCGACGCGGTCAGGTGCCCCTCCGAGAGGTTCCTGACTTACCTGCACGACAGGATAATAGGAGGCAAGGACGGTCCGCCGTACGAGGAGGCGTTGGCCGAACTGGCGTACGGCCTGAGCGTCAATCCCGAACACTTGATACTGGAAGTGAGTAAATTGGGATTGCGATTAAGTTAGTGCGTCGGTAGAAAATCTTTTGGAAATTAATGCTCGAGTACGCGAGGTAGAAAAAAATGTTTGCCGGATGTCTGATTTGGGATGGTAATTGCTGTGGGATTCTGTTTATTCTTTGATGGTTGTGTGAGAGAGTTTATAAATTTTAAATTTATTGTCATTTTGGAATATCTAGAACAGAAATATTACATTTTCTGGAAAAGCGTTATATTCTAAGGATTGATTAAGAGTAAGTTTACAGTAGTTATAAATTAAGATTTAAAGGCATAAACGTAGGCAGTGTTTATTGACTATTCCTTTTTTTATGACAGATATTTTATGTGATAAATTTGGCATTCCAAACATATATAATGTATCGCAATTGCATAAGCTATATTATGGAAATAATGAAGTAACTGATATGTGTTTAATGGTGTTTGAGGTTGGAGAAATACTGATGTTTTTGATGTAGTTAACGGGTCGTTTTTGGGCCTAAATGACGTAAGAAGAAAATTCCTTTTAAGTGTGTTTGTGCCCAAAGATAGTGTATTAACCAGGTTGAAAATGTTAGCGTTTTTCCGACCTTACTCGACACTGGCTCGACGGTTACTCTGTACCTAAGGTGAAACTGCCTCTGCTTCTAGAATGGTTGCAATAGAGTACATTTATGTCTTCATTGTATTTGACCTATTATTTTTTATTTATTCCTTTGAATGTTTTTACTGCTTGTTTTGCCACTTGACACAGTTGCGTTGTTGCCTCTGTTGAGCCAACCCTGCTTACCCACTGTAAAAGATGTATTGTATAATAATTATGGTGGTTAGTTCAAAATTTTGATAGTATATTGACATGATCATTGTAGGTAAATAATGTTTTTGTAATAGCTCACTGAAGATGGGAAAAATTGCTGGGTGCCAAATCTTCATTAGTATAAGGGATGGGAAAGTAAGAAATTACTTTTCATAGATCCATTCCATTTATGTGTTCTGCATTAATTGTTTCACTGTTATTATCAAAAGGTATTATTTTTCATTATTTATTTTAAAATTTTGAAAATAGTTTTAATTTATAAAATGTTTTTGAATCTTTCTCTATAGTCTTTTCCACAAAGTGAAGGTTGGCCATTTTCGCAATACTGGGGTGCCTGTGGACGTGTTGTGGTTGAGGAATTCGTGGGCTATTCATTGCACGATTATGAAGATGGAACTTGGGATCAGCGTTTACATTTGGCATATCAATTGTTACAGATAGCAGATTTATTAACTCATAATCAGCTAGGTTTTGCCATGTACATGACTGATGTTAACATGGACAATTTTGCCGTTCAGCCGGATGGAACGCTTTTTATGATAGATGTTGAAAACATTATTTTTGTGGATCTGAAAAAATTGCAACAAGGTAAACATTTTATTAAATTTATTTATNTTCAAATTTAACTTTTAATAAACAAAATTTAAAGAATAATTTTTAAAAATTAGAAATATTTCTCAACTCCTTGCCAAAGTCTAGTTCCAAACTTATTAATTTATGCTACCTGAACCTCCATCCAATCTTTGCTTCCAGAACTATTACAAGTACTTATAAAATTAAGTTTGTAGATGTTTATATTATCAATTTAATATTGCTAATCTTATTGTCAATTACAATTTTGATCCTCTTATATTACATTTGATCAATAATAGAACAGTGACTTGTAGGCATTAAAAAGCTGAAGCTATCCTAAAACAGGATGAAAACTTCCTTTGTGAAAAATTGAAACAGTTGGATAACTGAAAGAAAACATTTTATACCTGAAATAATAATATAAACCTAGAAATATATGAGGTAATATTCAAGAACAGTGTAGATAATTTTTATCAGTTTTCAATAATAAATTATAAATCAAATTGCACTTTTGCTTAGCATCAATAACTCATAACTGCTTTTTAATTTGATATCAAACAAACAGCAAATGAAGTTTGACTACCAGAAGAGATTGGCAAAATAAAATCAGAAAAATCACTTTAAAGAAACCATTAATTTGTATTATGTAAGGTATATCAAAATTACATAATAATATAATCATAAAATTGCATAATATAATAAATATATTACAAAAAGAAATAAAATATGTTCCCAACTTACTATATCCTTCAAGTAGATATACTTTTCAACACATCACCATTCTAGAGGCTACTCTTGAATGGTGATGTGGACCTCTGTCACTAGAATAACATCTCTTAACCATTTAGAATTGAAGACATAAGCATTGTGAAGTTTAAATAGTAATTCTGTTCTGTTCTACTTCCAAAACTGCCATCAACTGATTCAATATGTGTGAATAGCAGCGAATAACTTAATTCTAGAGTATATGGCAAACATTTCAATTAATAATAAGTCTAGACCTCTGGCCAGTCAGAGAATATATACAAAATAATAGTGGCTAGTACAGACAGTAATAATATAGTATATATTTACAGTATTATTGTATTTGCAATTCCAGCCAAATTAATGTTCTCTGGCAGATAAACTATTAGCACAAACAGGACAAGACAAAACCAGTGTTTTAAGAATTTAGGATGACCAAAATGGCTCAGATAATTGTTGCAAGCCACAATGTGCAATGCCTAGATGGAAAGAGAAAACATTATTGATACATCATTTTCCCAACAAAAACAATACTTTCTGTCTACGAAAACAAAGAACAGTTAAATTACTCAACTCTTGTACCGACATGATTTCACAATAAATTTTTAATGCTTTATATAATATATAAATATTTAATATCAGTACTGTGTGATAAATTATTCCAAAGACTCACCAAGCACATTTGATATTGACATAGCTAAATTCCTACAAAGATTCAGGAAATCTGGTATAACATGGTAGTTTTGTTGCCATATCTTTGTGGCACAAAACCACATTATACAGGAGTAAATACCAATATGAAGAGTTACAAAATTTAAAATTATTTTAAAATTTTACCTTTCATAAAAAAAATCTTAAAATGTCAGTTCCTTATTATTGTTCAAATGTATGAGGAGTGACGTTCATCCAAATTCTCAAGGTTAAACTTAGATCTAAAAATACTTGAAAACCGATGCTTATTACATAGCATTGCTTTTGTATGATATTAAACTTGGATTAATATTTTTTTATCATATGACAAAGTCTACTTTACTAAACATTTAGATTTACTCATCTTTGTTTATTACTGCAGGATATTTCTACTTTATCTTAAACATTTTGCATTGCATACCACAGGCTTACATAAAATACACATTATCACACAGTATTCACACTGGATTAAATTAATTTAATAGAATATGAATTCTCACTCGAAGAAATACTCTCCTCTTTCGTCACTTCTTCGGATGCCTGTCGACAAATTCCAACGCTCTCCATAATAAGTTCCTCGGCCCGGTCCGTCGTCAAATTCAGATATTTCTGAAATCCTTCTATGTCGGCCTGGTAGCTGGCAGAAGTGAGGACGTCGGCACCACTTCTCAAGTAGCTATTATTAAGAAGACAAGAACTCGTAGGAATTAATACGACAAATGAGCACGAGGCTCCAGACAGTTCCAAACCCTCTCACTAAAATTCACATTATAATATTTGTTTGAACGAAGAGAAATATCATTTTTGGTACAAAAAATGTGACACAAACTTATAAACAATAAAGGAATGTAAATTCTAAGATCAACCGTATCTGACCGAGATCGAATCAAATGTCGAGTTTGATATCTCCCACAATCTAAATCAGAATTTGCTACTCTTGGCAACAAGCAATCAATTGCTTAAAAAGTGAGAACGAGGAAAAACGACCAATCAGAATTGGCAATCGGAAACGGGAAAAAAACTCCAGAATTTCAAGGATGCAACAGTTTCTTCTCCTGAATTTTCCAGATCATTTGTGCACATTTGGTGCGACGGAGACGAAGGTGGGCTTCATCTCTGTTTCCTTTCCTCAGATATCGTGCGAGAACTACGGAGACACTGAAGGAACTCTCGATAGTCACAACAAACCGTTTATTTGACGCGAAAGAAGATCATGTGATTTCTGCACTCTTGCAAGTTTAGAGTTGACGGTGTATCTGGGTCGTCCAAGAGAAGAAGACCCGGATACCACCAGATACTCTCTCGGAAGCCCAAACACCGAAAGAACTCTCACTTGATTTGCAAGCGAGAGTTCCTTCAAACTTTCAAGCATGCAGAAATCTCACAAGCCTCTTTTGTGTCCAATAAACAGTCCATCGCAACTGTCAAGTTTGTCCCAGCTCCGATCGCATCTGCAAGCGATGCTCTCGACTCCTCCATCCATTCCGACCTCAAACGCAACCTCACAATAAAAAGGAATTTGTTTATACTTAAAGACGGGTAGCATACCTTTTATGGACATTTAAAATTTGATCTGGGTGCTGGAAGAGAACGTAAGCACTCCAAAGAGGATGATCCTGTTGGTCAAATTACGAAAAATTTCAATTAGTAAATAAAACCTGGCAAAGTCTGGAAGGCGAATGGGAAATACTAACGACTTACATCGATGGTCTGTCCCAATTTCGAAAGTTCCGTTCCCAACCCCCCGTCCAAAACCTTCATATTATTATTCATTATGGAGTCTTATAAATATGCGACTCGTCTGCTCTTGTAAGAATACCTACGGTAATTATAACCGGCCAGTTAAAAATGCATTCGAAATTTGGGCCATTCGTAAATAAAAGAAAACTTATCCGGCAACACCTCTCACGTGCAACCACAGGTATCGTCTGTCTTTTCCGAGGGAGCAGACGGAGTGTTGACGTCGATAGTGTTGCCAGATGAAATTCCAAATGTTCCTTAGATTTTGACCAAAAATTCCCTACATTTCCCTGGAGGTCAGGAAGGCTATAGTGTAATATTGGTTGCGTAATTATAAAAAGACTTATACGAATCGCAGTTAAATTATAAGTAACGTTGTATTTCGTGAATAATAAATAGATAAACTCGTTTGAATTTTGGCCGTACAACGGATTTTTAATGGTTATCGGCGTGCAATCCCCACTAAAAAAAATATTTTATTGATCGTGAATGAATTTTAATATAAGTCCCCAAAAAACTGTATAATTAGAATTCTCCTAGATTTGTCGAAAATTACAAAAATATCCCTTTTTTCCCCCTTTGGTAATTGAAATTCCTTAAAAATAGGGACAAACCCCTGCGCTTCGCAACAATGTCATCGACGCCATAACGGAAAGAAACGGAACTAATCTGATTTTTTAGTAATTTTGTTAAATATAGCTCTATAATTGCAATGGTATGGTGACGTAACCATAATGAAGTGTTCATGAATTAAGTAACATAAATATATAGAAATGTTTACAAAAGCATTACGTAATGCAAGCGGTCTTCGTACCCTGAACACTGGTAGTTCTGGTCGTTAGTTCGCGTCTCGCTCGAACGGTCTGGCCACGTGGAGTTTTCCGGGTTTCCTCCACGTCTGTAACGCCTAAATAGGGGCAGTTTCCCTTTAAAAAAGACCTCCCGGAAGGCATCCCCCTAGGCAGATCGCCCAAGTGTTGCGTTGCCATAACTTAACAAATAAAAACAACGTTACGTAATGCTAGAATCTCGATCCTCGAGTGAAGAGAATATGGACTTTTTACTCGATTTCACGGGCAAGTGACACGATCGCTCCCTTTCTGCAGATACAAACTAAAGGATAAATATGAAACAATATCAATTAAAACAATACGAAAAGTAATTAAATTGTTACGTAACATTAATAAATGATATTTTAGACAACCAAGCGGTTCATTAAAAATCTTTACGTTCTTTCATGATTTTCTTTTCTGGAATACCGTGTACAACCCGGGGCTCGCATATGACATCTCTGTGGCTGACCCTGTTACATTGCAATATGATAAGAAGTGATAAGAAGAAATACTTAATTAAATACAACTGATAAATTCTAACAAATCAATTTTTTTTTTATTGAGAATCGCAGCGTAACTAGAATACTACGTTACTAAACACGGCTCTGAACGGAATACTACTAAAATCGATAGCATAAATTTTAAATTAAATAAATTTAAAATACAATTTAAAAATGCAACCCGGCATTGTGACGATGTCACAATAAATAATTGCTCGTTATCTTTGATTTTTTTTCCTAGTTACAGAACAGCAATCAAAATTTAATACGCAGCTCTTATATAACAAGGAAAAGAAACAAGTTCTTCAATCCCTTCTCTTGAACTAACTCAAACTTTAACGGGTCATGGAAATTTCGGATCCTACTAATTTAGATTCAAAAAGGACAATAGTATTTGTAAAATCGACAATAGTGAAGACAATGTTCATCACTTTTTAATTCGAATGCTCCAGGTTCAGTGACAGTCGCGAGACCTTCTTTAGAGATTGCCTTACCTACCGCAACAAATGGCCTCCTGGAGAAAAGGATTTAATAAACAAAAAGGAATTGTATAGAAGCTCGACGAACTTTATAACCAGAACTAAAAAACTGACAGTGAACCACAGCTTCAGCAACTTTACTATAAACTAGCTGTTACCCGCGGGGGATTTGCAAGAAAACCCCATTTATATTCATTATTTCAACAACCACAGTAACTGTTATATAACACCTACCACTGAGAATGATGAGAATTGCTGAGAATCAAACAAACTATTTTCAATTTGATAAATTTTCTGGAACGTTTACAATCATTCTATAATCGAATCAATATGCAATAAAAAATTCGAATTTAAAACGGTTCGAACATTTGGTTAAAAAATCGAAATATATAAAAGTATTTATAACAATGTCTGAAATGTTATCAATTTAATACACCTAAGTACTCATGAAAATTAAACATAGTTGAAAACAATATCGCATCTAAAATAGTACAGTAGAAGCCGTTCTTCCGGTTAAGCCTTAATCCTCTCCGTCTCCCCCCGCGGGGAAATTTCGAAAAATCCTTTCTTAGTGTGCGTTTTCAGGACGTGCCCTAACTATGTACCAAATTTCACCTCTTTAGGTTCAGCGGTTTGCTCTAAGGCGCTAGATTACCCAGGTATGCTCATACGCTTCCGTCACGTGTGCAGCCATATTGGTCCTTTTGACGTCATATTCCAAGATTTTTAAATTTAGCTGTATTTTATAACTAGTTGAACTAAATTTTGGCAAAGTTTATCATTTCGACCTTGCAAAATCTTAAGATACAGTTGAATTTATGATTATTTTCGTGTCTCTTCTATTGAACTTCTACGAGAGTCGTCAGCTTTCTAAGGACCAACATGGCGGATGAGCATATCTGGGTTATCTAGCGCCTTAGTTAACTCTGGGCGATGATGAATCAATCAGTGACTCAGTCAGTCAGTCATTCATTCATTCAGTCAGTCAGTCAGGACAAGTAATTTTATATACAGTAGACCCCTATAACACGGTAGATATGTTCCGTCTTTTATGAATTTCATGTTGTACGAGTCCTTAAATACATGAGCCAATCACAGCCCGGCACGTATGCAGTTTAGAGACTACGGCTGTTTGAAAAGTTTTCTTCAATAAAATTAATCGATTCTAGATTAATTCGACTCAACATTTCAAAAACACGTACAATTTTTTGGGAATAATCCATATAAACTATGCTATAAACAAAAAATTGTAGGATTACTTACTGAGTGTGTACCGTTCGACGACTCCATTATTTAAGCTTGTTTTCGTCGTGGAGCTTTTCATCGAATGGCGCTCGCGTGCTTTCTGATAAATTATTTTTTTTTTTTGCGAAAAATTCGCTGAACTTTGGAGACATCATTAATATAAATATAATTTTTATGGACGTTAAATAATAAATGGTTTTTAGTAGGTCCGCTGCTCGTTTAAACTCAACGGTTTGTGCAATATCCGCTATTGGTCTAGATTCGACCAATCCTGTCGCGACACGAGTCGGCGATGACGTTTTACCGAATTATACGAGTTTTTTTAGCATGTTTATACGAATACGGTCGCAATTTTTTCGCCGTGATATAGGAATCCGTATTATATGAACCTGTTTTATAGGGGAGTCTACTGTATTTAGATGGTAACAGTGAATCACTTATAACAGCAACAACAGAAAAGGGCCAAAACTCAGAAGAGGATAACCAACCAACGGGTAAAGAAAACTACAGTAGTAACGAGGAACACTTTTAGTGTCTCAAAATCCTCTACCAAGTTTAACAATTAATGTATTTGTTTATACCAATTGTTTATAAGGCTTCCATTCACACTCAATTTTTTTTTTTAATTTTGTTTCTTTGTTTATACTTGTAATTGTTGTTTTTAAAATTAACACAATGCGGATGCTCATGGGCCCTTCCCCTTCCTTCCTTTCATTCTTTTACTTCCCTATCCTCCTTTCTTTACCATTTCATTCTACACTCTATCTCTCCCCCTCCCTTCCTTTTCCTTAGTTAGGGCAAAGCCAGCCGTTGAACGACAGACAGCCCTCTAATTCCTTTATTAAAAGTAAAGCACTTTGCTTGTTGTTTGATAAAAGTAATTTACAACACAGAACTCACCACGAGGAGGTGGCTGCATATAGAGTTCCGCTCCCACCCAATCTTATTAATTAAAATAATTCAAGTACGTGAACACCATACAATTTCCAGGAGATTTGCTCTCGAATCTTTGACAGTAGTCAAGAACAAATTTGAACTGTTATCATGATGCTAGTAGATTCTATGAAAATTTTCTCATAGAGACTAACTTCACCTATGAGAAAACACTGGATCGAACACCGACTAGGTCAGTGATCTATCGTTCATACGTGAATAAATTTGGTCCTGCATTGTGTGAGCGCAGGACCAGATTTATTCACGTAAGGAAACTCTGGTCCTTGTGTAAGAAATACACGGAAATATTCATATTATATTTAACGTATTTATATTAAACGAAATGACTTACTTGTAATACGAATTTATAAAAAATGGCTTTCTTCTATGGTAATTTGTTGTCAGTTCTTGAATGTTGTTTTCCAAACATTAAATTTTAAGTTTATTTTCCGTAGTTGAAGTGTTTCTTGTTTTCTTTCTCTGTCTTACTCTTTTATTATTAATTCTAAAACTCGGCAAAATATTAGCATTTTTTCTTTGAAAATTACGAGGAATACGATATTGGCATTTCCGTTTCGGCAAAAATTGCCCGTGTATTGTTGATTCATTAACAATTACCGAAAAGACGCGTTGCCTAATTGTTGTCGTTTGATGACGTTTAGCGATGAAACTCCAATTTATTTATTTTTTTTTTAACTCTTTTCGCGCTGTATGCACTAAGAGAGCCTGTTTTTAGCAAGTCCATTATGTATTCGGCCAATCCCACAATGGGGGAGGAGGACGATACCCGACATATTCGGACGGACCACCCCCGAAAAATTCCTGAGGAGTTTTTCGACCCGTCCGGATTCGATTCCGGGTCCCCTAGAGCGGTAGACTGCCACTCTAACTTCTCGACCATCCGGTTACGTTTGTTTGTTAAGTTATGGCAACGCAACACTTGGGCGATCTGCCTAGGGGGATGTCTTCCGGGAGGTCTTTTAAGGGAAACTGGCCCCTATTTAGGCGTTACAGACGTGGAGAAAACCCGAAAAGCTCCACGTGCCAGCCCGTTCGAGAGAGGCACGAACCCACTACCGAACTCCCAGTGTTTAGGGTACGAAGACCGCTTGGCCAATGATGGACTTCATCCGATTACGTCATTCAACATAACGTTTTATAAAGATAGCAAAACTGATTACTTTTTATTAAAAATAGTTTTAACGCTGGCATCTAAATTCCTTTCGATCGTATAACATAAACTGCTATCGAATTAAAACATATATATATTAAAAATAAATAATAAGACAAAAAGACATTTCTCCGAGAGGGGTCGCAGGAGATAATTAAGGAAAGGAGGATTTAAATGGTAATTTCGCTAAGCGACTTAAACGTAATTATGCGTATAATACATTAGTCGACATTAATGTTCCTTAGAATAATAATCAAGAAGAAGACTATTTTTATATTATGCACGTGCGTTTTCCTATATCACTTATCGAGAAAAATATTTCCCATTCGTATCGACCCGTCGGAGGATGCTTTCTTATCGGTTCATCTGTGTCCCGCTTGCTACGGTCAGAACATATGCCCCATCTTCTACCACAATGACTTTCACTTCGTCGGCGCCAGCAAACTTCGAATATCTCGACTCTTCAACGAAAAAAACGTCTATTACGGACAGGTAAGGAATCGCAAAGTCGTGGCCAAGAAATTAGCCCACGATTCTGAACTGAAAGAAACCGATCAACACCTATGCAACGTGGCTACCGGAATATCCGACTGTGATGTCAGAGAAGCTGTGATAAAAATCGTTTCCCGCAGCGCCCGTCTTCCCAAGAACCGGAGACTGTCCGAAGTGGTCGCCCGGGTGGGCGGACTGACCGACGCGGTCAGGTGCCCCTCCGAGAGGTTCCTGACTTACCTGCACGACAGGATAATAGGAGGCAAGGACGGTCCGCCGTACGAGGAGGCGTTGGCCGAACTGGCGTACGGCCTGAGCGTCAATCCCGAACACTTGATACTGGAAGTGAGTAAATTGGGATTGCGATTAAGTTAGTGCGTCGGTAGAAAATCTTTTGGAAATTAATGCTCGAGTACGCGAGGTAGAAAAAAATGTTTGCCGGATGTCTGATTTGGGATGGTAATTGCTGTGGGATTCTGTTTATTCTTTGATGGTTGTGTGAGAGAGTTTATAAATTTTAAATTTATTGTCATTTTGGAATATCTAGAACAGAAATATTACATTTTCTGGAAAAGCGTTATATTCTAAGGATTGATTAAGAGTAAGTTTACAGTAGTTATAAATTAAGATTTAAAGGCATAAACGTAGGCAGTGTTTATTGACTATTCCTTTTTTTATGACAGATATTTTATGTGATAAATTTGGCATTCCAAACATATATAATGTATCGCAATTGCATAAGCTATATTATGGAAATAATGAAGTAACTGATATGTGTTTAATGGTGTTTGAGGTTGGAGAAATACTGATGTTTTTGATGTAGTTAACGGGTCGTTTTTGGGCCTAAATGACGTAAGAAGAAAATTCCTTTTAAGTGTGTTTGTGCCCAAAGATAGTGTATTAACCAGGTTGAAAATGTTAGCGTTTTTCCGACCTTACTCGACACTGGCTCGACGGTTACTCTGTACCTAAGGTGAAACTGCCTCTGCTTCTAGAATGGTTGAAATAGAGTACATTTATGTCTTCATTGTATTTGACCTATTATTTTTTATTTATTCCTTTGAATGTTTTTACTGCTTGTTTTGCCACTTGACACAGTTGCCTTGTTGCCTCTGTTGAGCCAACCCTGCTTACCCATTGTAAAAGATGTATTGTATAATAATTATGGTGGTTAGTTCAAAATTTTGATAGTATATTGACATGATCATTGTAGGTAAATAATGTTTTTGTAATAGCTCACTGAAGATGGGAAAAATTGCTGGGTGCCAAATCTTCATTAGTATAAGGGATGGGAAAGTAAGAAATTACTTTTCATAGATCCATTCCATTTATGTGTTCTGCATTAATTGTTTCACTGTTATTATCAAAAGGTATTATTTTTCATTATTTATTTTAAAATTTTGAAAATAGTTTTAATTTATAAAATGTTTTTGAATCTTTCTCTATAGTCTTTTCCACAAAGTGAAGGTTGGCCATTTTCGCAATACTGGGGTGCCTGTGGACGTGTTGTGGTTGAGGAATTCGTGGGCTATTCATTGCACGATTATGAAGATGGAACTTGGGATCAGCGTTTACATTTGGCATATCAATTGTTACAGATAGCAGATTTATTAACTCATAATCAGCTAGGTTTTGCCATGTACATGACTGATGTTAACATGGACAATTTTGCCGTTCAGCCGGATGGAACGCTTTTTATGATAGATGTTGAAAACATTATTTTTGTGGATCTGAAAAAATTGCAACAAGGTAAACATTTTATTAAATTTATTTATTTTTTTTAATTCAATGCTATAAAATTATATTATACAGGTAGTCCTCGGTAAATATGATTGATAGGTTCCTGGAAAAAACATTTTAAGCAAACTCTGTATGCAGTGATTAGTAGTGACCTTTGGAAGTACGGTATGCTGAAAAAAAAGTTGCATAGTACAAAAGTTGTCTATAATTAATAGACTGTTAAAAAAAAAACCTTAAATGAGAATTACCTGTAATTATGACAAACTAAAAATTAATTATAATTATTTATTAATACCAAGTTATGTCTATTATTTTAGTGAGTTTAAGCTTTTGTGAGATTTTGGACATAGTAATTAATGAAATACATGCTCTAATATAAACTACAGTGCAATCGTAAAGTTTCAGCTTTACGATTGCACAGTGCAACTTTCTCAGTCGGCTATGCCTATATTGCCTGTGACATCATTACTTCATTCCTGGAAGCTCCTCCTGCTTCCCTGCCTACTGCAGAGTGACTTTACAATCTGTATAAATTTAAGAAAATATTTAATATAAATCACTTAAATAAGTTTTCAGATTATGTTCTTAAATTTTAACAATTTTTGTAATGTATTTATTTCATAACAAATAAATTATAGATGGTAGATATGTTAATATACAAAAGTTTTAGTTTTGGATAAATTAATTTTACACATTTAAGCAAAATTGACCACTTAAGAATATATTACAAAGCGGTACATTCCAGTATGCATCAGTCACAGCCATAACTGATGCACTGGTAAATGGTTTAATAAGCTTTTATCTGTATCTGGCACCCTAAGAAGATGGCAGAAGCAAACAGAAGATGCTGTATTGGCATTTCAGATTTATTTTGTTAAAATAACTTTGGGTTAATACATAAAAGTAATAAAAATGGTGTTAATAACATATAAACACCCACACTGCCATAAATAATTATTTACGGTGGTGTGGGTGTTCATTTGCTATGCATCGGGTTTCTGTTGATGTTTATGTTTGTTATTAATAATAATATAACTGTGGAGGCAGCCATATTGCTTCGTCAGAGTTCACCAAATTCAATGAGTGCGATGTTCATTGATCACAAATATCAACATGTTTTAGTATATTGCAGTTTACTGATGCACTGTTTAATGCATGTTTAATTTACAACTGTTCTAAATGTTAGTTTATAGTCAAATAAAGCTATGGTTTTGCATAATACAGCAGTTCTCAAATATGTACAGTACTTTATATATATATATTACATGTTGCAGGCAAATTTAATAATTACTCTTTTGATAGACTGCCTAATCCAGTGTTTCTCAAAGTTTATGGTGCTAAGGTTTTCTAAATATGGGTTTGTTTTTCAAATACACTAGTGCACTGGTAGGATACTGGCAGATAGTGTAAAAGTATTGATAGCCAATTTAAAGTACCAGAAGTTCTCAGCAATGGCAGTTCTTCACATTCAGTCACCATATACGAATACTGATGGGAATTTCTTTAGTAAAAGAGCACTGTTTAAATCTAAATAAAAAGTTTTACATCTTATTCAAAAGTTCAGAATTTATGTTTATAATGAGTTTATTTTGTAGTCTTATATTCAAATAAATCATTTTATAAATTAATTAATATTTGTATTTTGTTAACACAAATATACAAATTGAATTAATTTATTGTTTAATAAACATATGTGGTAGTTTCATTGAAGGAAGCTTTGCAATGAGCAATTATTTGTTCTGACATTGTCACAATGCCAGGCCTCAATTTTTAATTAATCATATTTTTAATTTATTTAATTTAAAATATATACTCTCCACCTCAAATTATTGGTAGTGGCTTGTCCCTGTACATCATGCTTTTACTTTAACAATAGAGTCATGCTGGTCATCTATTAACTGCTTTCAGGGGAAAAGTTTTGAATTGACTTCCAGTTTGAATCAGAAGCTCTTATATAATTGGAGCCTCTTGCTCCTGAGGTTAATTGGTTAATCAGTTAATTGGAGCCTCCTGCTCCTGAGGTTTTCATATCTGATCTTGTCTTTCATCTCTAACTCTGTTCTTGACTGTTCTTGAGATTAAGGAAAGACTGACAGATGGACGTACAGAGGATCGACAACTGTGGGAATTTATAAGTCTACAGTTTTTTCAAATTGCAAGCCAATTATTATAAATTCATTTTATGCAAACTGTAAATAATTATTTCTATTTGCAATTCATTTTATCAGTTGTTATTTTTCATGTTACATTAAGTAAAATCTTTGTTTTAAATGTTTAAATTTTATTTTCTTCTTTTTCATATTATTAAAACTATTGAATATAATTGTAAATCTCTACAACATTTTAAAAAAATTATGTTAAAAACTATTACAATAATTTAAATATATTAGTTAAAGTGTAATATTTATTTTTTTCTTTTTTTTGTTTCTTGTTAAAAAATTTAATAAGTACGAGGACTATTTTTAAAATAAGGTCCATTTGTGAATGAGAGTGAGAATGACACGCGATTGCAGCAGTGTGCATGAGTATCTGCTTTTAGCATGCTTTGCGCATGTTTAGGTGCCATTTGCAGCCGTATCGTCTGTCTGTGTGCTGAATTGTAGAAGTTTATAATGTTTAAGAAAATTGAGTCACCTGCCGACTGTAAGATATGATCTGTTATTCGATTTCAGCATGAAAGATCATGGTAACTGTCTTTTGGGACAGGAAAGGGACTTTGTTAGTGGATTTTATGCCAAGAGGTACAACAATCAATTCTGATGCTTAGTGCGACCTTCAGAAAACTCTGCCATGCCATACAAGACAAGCAGCGTGGCCTAATGTCTTCCGGCGGCAGATTTCTTTGAAGTCAGAATTAAAAATTTTTTTGAGTGGTATCACAAATGTTTGAACAAAAATGGAAATTATGTAGAAAAGTAGATAAAAGTATGTAGAATATGGAAAAAAATATATTTTAATGATATTTACAGTATTTTTCTTCTTATTAAAAAATGGACCTTATTTAAAAAATAGCCCTCGTATAACCAAACAACCACAAGATTTCATTGGGCAACTTTTCTGTGATTATTTTTAATTAATTACTAAATAATTTGTCACTAAAGGGAGGCATTATACTCCATCTCTTAAATTTAACAAATATAATTAAATTAATATTTAGTAAATAATTTTGAATATTCTGGAAGAAAAGAATTGGCCTGGAGTAAGACACAAACCCACAACTCCTGCTTATCATGCAGATGCATTGCCAGTTATGTTGTTTATTTATATAATACAGGTATACCTTGCCTTACGTCGGTAATTGGTTCCAGGAGAACGACTTAAGTCGAAAAACGACGTAAGTCGAATTTACTTGTCTCCAAATCTATTTGTCACTAGGCTAAACCATAAATTGCCAATTCTGGTTCTGTATTTTATTTATTAATGCATTTTTAATAATATATGGTTAATAAAGGATCTATTTTAAGCTTACAAACAAATAAATTTTAGTTTTTAATATAGTACAGAAAAAAAGTAATCTAAATTTACGAATGCATGTACTTTAAATACAGTACATACTTGTAAATGTATATATTTTAATATGATTTTATGTGCTTTAAACGTTTTTCTAGTGATACAGTAGAGCTTCGAAAACTCGGCCTAATGTGGACCGAAGGGTGGCCGAGTTTGTGAAAATGCCAGGTTATCGGGAATGGGGTTAAAAAAAAATAAGTATGAGTCTTTTCTCAGAAAATACTGTACTGTACTTGTATGTATTGTTTACTTGAGAATACAACAGAGAATAAACTGCCCAAATACCCTTAAACAAAGGAAAAGTACGTCCTTTATGAAGGGATAGAGCCTTTACTACATGAAAATGAAAATTAATGAATACACTGTGTACAGTAATTTACCTGATAAGACAAACCTCAGAATAATACTTTATGAGAGCTTTTATACTTTTATAAAGCTGTCTATAATGAAAATTAATTAACTAAGGACTTTTTTGCCCTGCCAGGGTGTGGCTGAGTTATCCAGAGTGCCGAGTTTTCGAGGCTCTACTGTATTACAACTTCAATATTTGTAAACAGACGTAAAGTCGAATAAAATGACAAATTTGATTTTTATTTTTCCATATACTTTTATGACAAACGACATATAATCGGGAATGACGTAAGTCGAGGTATACCTGTATATATACACCATGCCAGGGTTGAGCTATTGTTGGCTGAGTGTCACAAGTAGGAGTTTATAAAGTGACGGCACTGCAAGTGTCCCCATTCAACACCATAAGTAACCGAGGATGGTTATATCATATTTAAGTATGTCTGGAAGAGATCGGACTGGAGGTCCGGATAGCGTAACTGGCAACACATCTGCACAGTAAGCAGGAGTTGCAGGTTTGAGTCCTGCTTCAGGTTGATTCTTTTCTTCCAGAATATTATAAATTATTTAATAAATATTAATTTAATTATATTTGTTAAATTTAATAAGAGATGTATGGCACCTAATGCCTTCCTCTAGTGACAAATTATTTAGTAATTAAATATAATCGCAGAAAAGTAGCCAGATGTAATCTGGTAGTTGTTTGTGTTTTATTGAGTTTTGTTGATGTTAGTTTATTGATAACAAATATAATCATAGTTAAAAGTTTACGATATAATTTAAAAATTATTAAAACTTATTACAGTATTGAAATTATTAAAAATGTGTCATAATTTTTTTTCTTTAGTTAGTTTTCATTTTCAGTTTATTTTAATTAACAAATAGCAATTTTCTGTCACATCTTGTCATAAAACTTCTTAATCATTTTACACTATTTTAAAAATGTTAATTGTTAGTAGCATCAATTTAATGTTTTGTCATATAAGCATATCCTGCATACATTTATATCATTATGGTGTTTATACTAGTTTTTCCAAATTTTATTTACTTCTAATCTATTATTTAGCAGTACTGTATTCATTATTATTATATGTTCTTTAAGGGTTTCTTAAGCTTTTACATTCTGTGGATTGTTTTTCCAGATCAGG